GAAGAAATCTTTATTACGACCAATTTAAGACGTGTGTAAAATGAATGTTCAATGATTTATTTTTAAATTAGAAACGTAAAAATGTGGATAAAAGAATAATATCCGCCTAAAAAGGGCTTTAAAAAATATCACTTTTCTGAAAAAGTTAGGCTAGCAGTTTATCTTTCGCCATATGAGCTAAAGTACATATCCCACTGCTACCGGTCCATATCATTTCGGGAGAATAGAATATTGCGTTTCACCTGGTAAAAAATCGTGTCGATATGGACATTATAACAATCGAGACGAAACACTTGAATAGTTCGGTGCACGAAAAGTAATCAAAATCTTGATTACAACTCCTTATATGGTCATGCCACGCCCCATTTTCATGACGTCATAATCATGAACTTGATTAATCAAGTTCGTGATTACCTCCCCGTAGTTTGCCCAACTGAGGTAGGGGGAGCTTCAACACAAGTTAAAAATGAATCATAATATCAATCTCTCCTTCTTTAACCTGACAAATTCGTAAAAAATATAGGTAGGTAATAGGTACCTTGCAATTTGTATTGTCATGTCCCTTTCAATTCAATCTTACCTTATCAGTAGGAATATAGGATAGCACCTTACAGTTATTGAAGACAGACATTCAAGTATTCTTTCAGGCAATATAAAAAACCAGAAATAAAACCTACAGGCTTCATAGAAATGGAAAAGTTGAATTGGATAGGTATATGCTTTCGATTTTCTGCACATTCAGTTACATAGTACCTAGGATAAAAAGTAAAATATGTTCTAAGTCTTGTTTGCGCGAGCGCTCACAGAAAAACTGATCGACTAAGCCAATAGAATTAGAGTATCAGCGAGCGCAAGCCGCAAACCTTACTTACTGTTCATTCACATTAGATTGAAGGCTCTGAACAAAATTCCATCTGACAATTTTTTCGTCAGCCGGTTATTCGTCGGCAGATATTCGTCTGACTTTTTCGTCTTGCATTTTTCGTCTGTTCGAATTAATTTGGTGCATTTTTCGTCTGAGTATTTTTCTGTCCGGCATTTTTTCGTCTGGACGAGGCGGAAAATGTTCTTATGAAAATAATGCGCGGACTTAAAAATGCACAGACGAACAAATGCATAGACGAAAGTCTGCGGACGAAAATCTGCAGACGAAAAATTGTCCGACGAAAACCTGCTAAACGAAAAAGTTGAACTGTCATGGAATGATTGTCCGGGCGATGCACGTGGCATTGCCGCTACCTGACCGCTTGGAACAGCGTGAGAGTTCCGGTTAGCACCTTGGTCCACTGGATGTGGTGCTTAACCCAAACCAACCAACCAACCATGGAATGATTGCTTATATTGCTCCAAATGGTGATTTGATGAATTGCAAAACAAATAAGTTTGACACTTACTTGGTCAGTGGGTAGCTTCCAAGTAGCTTCAAGCCCGGCATATCACAACCCAGAAAATATGTGAGGTGAGATTAGAAAAGAACTTTCCAAACCACCACTGTCCACTGTTTGACAGTTTCATAATCCATAACGTTGATAATGTAAAAAGCTACCAGGTCTCTTGTTCCAGTTCTGCCTCACAACCATGGCAATGATTTTGCTCTATATATGTCTACACAGTCTGGTTCGTTTTCTCTTCGTGTAGCTATCTAGCCCCTTGCAGCTGGTCGCTCAACCATAGATATTTATTGAAGTGCTTACAGACAAAACCTAGTGCAGGGTCCTTAGTGGCCCATGTGCAACATAAACCTCATGGTCCAGCTTCCAGGATTCTTGAGGTCCCTCAACAAAATGGTGGTGTAGGTCCAGACCGTTCTCCTAAGATCCCATGACAAATAATAAAACTGGTACTGAAGGTCTGCATTCTGCAGGGTCTTGCAGCATACCAAAGTTTTGAGGTCCTAACCCCTGGGTTTCCATGGTTTTACGGCATATGAAATGTTGAGGTCCTGGGTTTCTAAGGTCTCATGTCACATGAAATGCTGATGTCCTGGGATTCCAAGGTCTCACGGCATATGCAAATGTTGAGGTCCTGGGATTCCAAGGTCTCGCGACATATGCAAATGTTGAGGTCCTGGGATTCCAAGGTCTCGCGGCATATGGATGTTTTAAGGTCCTGGGATTCCAAGGTCTCGCGGCATATGGATGTTTTAAGGTCCTGGGTTTCCAAGGTCTCGCGACAAAAATGACAATGCAAGGTCCAGGATCCATCAAGGTCCCAGACCTTGGACTCTGCGAACCCTGGATCTCGGATCTTTTTGGGACCTTGGCACATGTCTGATAGATTCGCAGCGCTCTCAGAGTCGGGGCATCTTTCGCAGGGAGACGAAACTTAGGAAATCACAAGCTTTCAAATTTTTACAGCTTTTTCCTCTGATTTTCTTTTCCGTTAAGGTCGCCTGAGGTCAGGTCAGTCACGTGACACCTCCATTATGCCCCATAGGTAGTGATACAGAAACTGCTCACTGAGCAGTTTCTGTATTGTTTTTTCTGTATCTGTTTTGGCGCTAACTGGGCAGTGCTCAGTTAGCGCCAAATATGATCCAAATATGTTTCAGGAATTGAAATTTATTTTTGTGCCCCGTTTTCGTGGACTGATGCCTGGTCTGTATTCAACTTGTGCCCTATATGACGTCCTTTGACATCACTAAGAGTATTTGAGATCATCGCGATTTTTCCTCAATAAGCCCAAATTAAGCGCGAAAATAATAACTATAGATAGTTTCAGCTTAGCCAACTGATACGCATTACCTATATTTAGGAAGTAGGGCTTTTGCTGGGAGGGAAGTCTGGAACAAATCGCTTCGTTAAGTTCCAATGATTAACTTGGGTTTTCTTGGGTTAGAGCGGTCCCTGCTTATCTTATGGTTTTGTGATTCAACGACATGACTTCGATACTTCGACTCTGGGCTCGCAGAAGACGCACACGATGATGAGCTCGCCGATATGAAGCCTGAAATTCCTAGTCGACCATGGCAGCGTCAAAACCAAATGAAGTTACTTTGTCACGCATGCAGCCCTGACAAAACCGGTTTGAGACGAACTCCTGTTGAGGTAAATGTTAACACCGCTATTATTGGTTTAGAGTGACTCGTGAGTATCTTTTTAGCAATCCGTGAATAATGCTCATGTAATTTGATAGCACGTCTTCGACGACAACAAGAGTAAGCCGCTCTTCCCGTCGGTAATTGTTCGGCGACCTCATGATGGACCAAGTCCCTGTGGAGCATCCCAAGTCTGGACTCTCATCCCTCGCAGACAGCTGTATCCGACGTTGTCAACGACCTTGCGGTTTCAGTAGCGACGTCCGAACTTGATATCTTCGTTTTGTTGCCGCCACTTGCTCTATTGAATGTTGCCGAGGTTTGGGCGCGGTCTTGCCGGGGTGTGACTGGCGATGATCATTCTGACTCGGTTTTCATATTTACCCCATTGACCCAAAACAATAGGTCACGACCACGTGAGTCGTGAACGAAACCTCCGGAACCTCAGGTGACCGGAATGGAATATCTGAGAGATGCCAGTTGCTACTTTCTGGAGTTTCATCTCCTTGTGAAAGACCCTTCCCGTGCGTCGACGAGTGGAATGTGGATGCAACGCTGAATGGTCGGCGCTATATATGTAGTTGTTGCACCGCGCTATATAGTTGTTGCACCAGATACATGGCCCAGAAAGACGAGAGAGAGCGCAGGCCTTTCAAAAAGCAGACGCACTGACACTGCAGTAGCGTCTGATGATAGGAGCATTGTCTAATGTCTACTCATCTCGTAAGAGTAACTACATTGAAACGTTTGAGCAATGAGCATTGAACACTTACGAAGTAGTTTTGTTGCCTTCGTAACATATTAATCGTAATATTTCGTAATATTTATTCGAAGCCTTCGTAATATTTCGAAGCTGTCGGTGGTGATTTACACCTTCTATGGATAGCTGGCAGGACTCCCACTGGTTGACCTGACCTGACCTGACCAAGCCTAAATGCATAGAGACATCATCTTTGATCAAAGCTGATCTGAAAATCGTAATCAGCACCCCGAAAAAACAACAACAAACTCAATTCACGAAGTTCTACCAGGTCCCGATTTTCCCGACTTTTGGGTCATTGACCTGACCTGGAAGGTCAACCAATGACCTAGGACCGTAGAAATTGATATCATCTGCTTCTTCTCGTTACGGGAAACACGCTAGTTTTTCCGTGAAGCTGTGGCTTAATCAGAGACCGAACAGCAAGAGGGTCCAGCTCCTGTACGTTAGACGCACACAAAACACCAATACGGGCGAGTGTCAAGACTCCTATAGGTGAAATCAGATACATTTCAGATTGATTTGGTGGGCAGTTTTAGGATAGCACTTGCAATGATTAGCGATTCTAAAATATATTTTGACCTAAGAATAATTTTAAATAATTTGTAATTAAGCGCCATTAATGATCAAATTTATGAAATTTCGTTAACTTTAGGGTCGATGCGGACCCCCTAGATGGCTTCAGAAATTCTTGAAATTTGGCATGGTTGATACATTTAGGATACGTAACAAATTAATTTTGGTGACAGGGGGTTCGTAGAAATTTTTCGAAAAAGTGGGGCGTTTGATGCACCCTAATGGTGAGCGAATAGGAAAATCCGTTCCTGATACGCATTTACTTGCTCATGTAACCCCGGTATATGTAAACACCATTGAATCACGTCAGCCACTAGTTCAACGGAGAGAACGATGGCTAGTTGCTACACAATACGATTTATTACTCATTCGTTCTACTATTACTTACCTGATAACACAGCCTTTTTTCTCGATGACGGGCGACAGCTCTCTATATCGTATGCGGCCGCCGATAAGACGGACCAGACTGAGACGCCTCCACTCTTTTCGTCCACGGTATATAGAGAACTTTTTCGTCCTTCGAAGTTCGAAGACGACGACGTATCGGTGTCGAATTTCGATTCTAGCCCTCCCTGTTTTAGCCAGGGGAGCAAGGGTTCAAGCATCTTGGTTGAGGTAAAAAAACGATGCCTAGGCACATCTATCTATTCATTTCTCCATTTACTGTCGCATCACTAAACTCCAAAGCAAGCATTCCCAAGACAGGCAAAATACAGATAGAATTAGAAAGCATCGCAACAGCTATAAATAGCAAAACAGTGATCGTATATTACCGATATTTATTCCACGTCAGATAGTTAGGTACTAAGCGAATTTTCAGGACAAAATTTAGCATAAGAGGCCTAAATGTGTCATGCTTTTTTGCCAAACGTGTTAAATTATTGAATACCTAATAAGCTAAAATTCGGGTTCAGCCCTCTGGCTCAGGCCTTGGGTTCAGCTACAGTCTACCTTTTATATATTTATATACACTGTGAGTCTACCGACCGCGGTGCCATGGCACCGACCGCTGTGTGGTGCAACACACAACTTAGAAGCTTGAAGTTTGGACGATAACACGGTAGGTACCTACGTCTGATTGATATATCACGGCTCTTTTTGCGTCTTGTGGCTGCATGGTTTTTAACCATCCTTCAATGGTTTATACCCTGCCTCGACCCCCTAGCTGAGGTAACTGACTTACTTTACTCACCTACAGACTATGTCTAGCCTGAGTGTGAAATAACGCCTGTTATCTATCACCATCCCATCGCTCATACAGTCGCACATTTTACTGTTCCAACCCATCACAGATACCAGCTCACATTTCACCGTCATAACTCCCATCCCACCGGCCACCCAACATGCGACCACACATCCCATTTCACTTCACAACTCACAGCGCACCGCTACAGGTTTAGCAATTTCATAAAATGTGGAAATGCCCAGTTAGTAGCTAGCAAACACTATAAATACCGGACAAACTCGGCTGGCGCGACTCGGCCGGCGTCACTCGGCGGTGATTGGCTGAGCGGCGCTGACGTCACTGGCCGGCCGGTCGCCGTCCTCCCAGACCAGCCGGCAGCCGAGGCGGGCCGCCAGCGCCTCGGCCACGAGCGGCGCCGCCTCTGCCACGGCCACGGGGCGGCCCAGCTCGGCTGTCAGCGAGGTGACGAACTTGTCGGCGATGCCGCACGGCACGATGTGCCGGAACCAGTCGAGGTCGACGGAGCAGTTGAGCGCCAGGCCGTGCGAGGTCAGCACGCGCTGCGTCAGGTGAATCCCTGTCGGCGACACGGCAGCTCCGTCAGAAGAGCGCCGCACCGCGGACGGCAGGTACACAAAGACGGACGGAAATATAGCACTGCGAGAGCCAATGGGGATAGGAAACAACATCATTGAAAAATGCGATAACACAAAACACTACATTGTAGCAATGAAACTCACCAGTAAAAAAAAAATGGTTCGAATTTTTTCACTGTAGTGTCATCACTAACACATGCGCAAATACGAATATCGAGGACCTCTGTGAGGCTATCGGTATCCCAGGTGAGTACCGTCTCGGTCAGTTCAGTTCAGTACCGTTTCAGGCGAGCACAGTCTCAGTCAGCTACTATGCATTTCAGACCCCATGAGACCCTGTTTTTCGGCGATAATTTCTCCAATTTTTGTCCAATCAGCTTGAAATTTTGGCATACGGTATTTCAGCTCAAGCGCCAATTTTTGTCAATATGGTCTCTTAACAAAATATCAAAATTTAGAGCACTTGTCGTTGGCTCGTAATGTTAATCAGTTTTTGCACCCGGATAGAGGCTCGCTCGCTGCCGCACCGGATTGGATAGGAGCGCTGGCCAATCACGTTACGCCGGGCCCAGCTTAACTCCGCCCACTGGCCGTGACCGCGATGGGTCTATGCCGTTTCAGTCGGCGTCAGCACCGCGGAGAGGTCGCATCAGGACCGCATACTGGTGACAATGGAGCTGGCAAAGTTGTTTCGGGACGAAAGCCCAAAACTATCCGTTCGAAGGCAGTGGTGTTCTCTTCTCCATATTTTGGTATTTTAACGTCGAACCAGCTCAATATTCATAATGATCAGAGGCCAGTTTTATCCAACAGAACAATAGCCGCCTGCCGATTTTTTTTTTTTTTTGCGGAGACTGGTTCAGATACGGACCGTAAAAAGCAAAGCCCTATCTGATTACGTGCCCATAGCGTATGCGGTATGTGAAGCGGTCTTTAGGTGAAAATTTCCGGCAGGCGGCTATTTTTCTGTTGGTAAAACTGGCCTCAGAATCAGAGTAAGATCAATTATAGGACCGAACCGGCCGTAAAAGAAAAGATAGATGAACTCTTGGACTCTGGGCACTTATTTACGCCGGAGTTGCACCTATCTGATCGTCAGGTTGGGTTAGGTCACTATACCCGATTACCTGTGAGATCATACGTAAGCCTCCACGTGACCCAAAAATATTGATATATTTGGCAGCTTCAATAAATGTTTCTGAGGAAGGCGCACAAAGCAAGCAACAAAGTAGAATGAAGACTGATGTCGCGGGCGCGGCCGATTGCCTGGGGCATCACTTCAGCGAGACGACCGTATTCGTGATTCGTAAAGCGGTGCGGGGCGCCGGGTGGAGCAGAAGCGTGATGTGTCGTGTGGTCGAATTGTCCTTTATCGCGGCGTGCACAAAAAGAAATAAGAATGTGGCAGGCGGACGTTGAGCACTATACGGGATCGGGCAGCAGTATACGGGAAAGGTTTCGCAGGAAGAGCTGTCAGGCCTACAGAGCTCTAGAAACATAAAAATGTTCAGACTTAAAAGGTGTAGAATTAAGAAACACATTTTTTTTTGTAATTTGGACGTAGTCTGACCTGATACATAATTTTACGCAACCACTTGAAATCAACAGCGTCTTTTGTGCGTTTTTCACAAGCCCCGAATCTTGTGTGGAATTTTATATTTTTGTGACTGAACAGGAAGTACCTACATTTGTGATGAATACAAAGTCAAGGGCTTCAGCTAGTGCGTTACTTATGCGCGCTTTTTTTTGCTCATTCGATGAAGTTACGGCTGCAACAACTGCACGGCAGCTACTAGTGATGTCAATTTCAGAAAACATATGTCCAATGTCCGTCCAATGTCCAATACTTACGTCGACTTTCCGTCCAAAAATGTCCAAGCCAGCCATTTGTCCAAAGATGTCCGACATCTACGCAATAGTTTACACCCAACACCGTTAATTAATTTGCTTTTAATGTATCGTTACCAGCTCAAAAGTGGTAATCATATCGAAAGCTGAGCTTTCTAATAGCCAATCAATGCTAAACACGATTACTTTATAAAAATGTTGAGGTGTAGCAAGCGATTGTCCAAAGTTGTCCAAAGTCTGCTGTCATTGTCCAACCGAATTCCGAATTGGACATTGGACAAAATCGGAATTCCGAAGATTCAAGTTCCGATTGACACCACTAGCAGCTACGCTCCATGCGAGCCGCCCCGGTGCGGCAGCCACCGCCGCCCGCTCCACGCAGCCGACTGACCGGCCAAGGTCACCGCCCCGTCCGCCGGGAGGGCGGAGCTTAATGGTCACGTGTTTGTGACGTCATGCGTACGCACGGATAGCCTCTACTCCACTGACGGATTTACGGAGCCGATTTTAACATTACGAGGCAACGACAAGTACCCTTAGATTTAATATTTTGTTAAGAGACCATATTGATGAAAATTGGCGCTTGAGCTGAAATGTCCATTGCGAAAATTTGAAGCAAATTGGACAAATATTAAATAAATTATCGCCAAAAAACAGGGTCTCATGGGGTCTGAAATGCATAGTAAGTACCGCCTTAAAGAGGTGAGTACCGCCTCTGTCAGTTCAGTACCGTCTCGGTCAGTTCAGCAGCACCGTATCGGTCAGTTCAGCACCGCATCGGTCAGTTCAGTACCGCTTCAAACAGGTGAGTACCGTATTGGTCAGTTCAGTACCGTCTCGGGTCAGTACCGTCTCGGGTCAGTACCGTATTGGTCAGTTCAGTACCGTCTCGGGTCAGTACCGTCTCGGGTCAGTACCGTATTGGTCAGTCCAGTACCGTCTCGGTCAGCTCAGTACCGTCTCGGTCAGTTCAGTACCGTCTCGGTCAGTTCAGTACCGTATCGGTCAGTTCAGTACCGTCTCGGTCAGTTCAGTACCGTATCGGTCAGTTCAGTACCGTCTCGGGTCAGTACCGTCTCGGTCAGTTCAGTACCGTCTCGGTCAGTTCAGTACCGTCTCGGTCAGTTCAGTACCGTCTCGGTCAGTTCAGTACCGTCTCGGTCAGTTCAGTACCGTCTCGGTCAGTTCAGTACTGTCTCGGTCAGTTCAGTACCGCATTGGTCAGTTCAGTACCGTCTCGGTCAGTTCAGTACCGTATCGATCAGTTCAATACCGTCTCGGTCAGTTCAGTAATCAGTACCGTCTCGGTCAGTTCAGTACCGTCTCGGTCAGTTCAGTACCGTCTCGGTCAGTTCAGTACCGTCTCGGTCAGTTCAGTACCGTCTCGGTCAGTTCAGTACCGTCTCGGTCAGTTCAGTACCGTCTCGGCCAGGTCACAGGTGGGCACTGGGCACCCTCTGAGCCCCGTCACATCACTTACCGAGCGCGCAGACCTTGTTGTCGCCCACCCAGACGCCCGTGTGTGGAGAGGTGGCCGCCGACACACCGAGCTGACCGCAGACGTCGATGATGGCCTGCTCCAGGAGGCAGACGTACCTAGAGACAGAGAGGGCAGCCGACACCACTCAGAGATCAGAGACACAGCGCGGGCTGCAGCGAGCCAACGGCCCCACTACGGATATATCGGCCGGACTATGTTCACACGCGATTTTAACACATGATGGATGAATAGTTTCCCTGCATCTTTCACATTCACGCACCAGCAGTACGACATCCAGCCGACCCCTACACGTGTGCCGCATTTACTATTTCGCTTTCTCACTTTGTGAGGCCGGTAGCACTAATTTTCCACGTTCCCTTATTTCACCTTTTGCAGTCAGAGACGCCCTGTCTGCTGAGTATCGTCCTTACCCGCTGGGGCTGGGACGCCCTGTCTGCCGTGTATCGTCCTTACCCGCTGGGACTGGGACGCCCTGTCTGCTGTGTGTGATTGTCTCACCTCCTGGGGCCAGGCACGCCCAGCTGTCGCAGGTTCAGCATCGGGTAGGCGACCAGCTGGCCGGGCCCGTGGAAGGTGATGAGGCCGCCGCGGCCGGTGCGCTCGAACTCGGCGCCGAGCCGGCGCAGGCGCGCCTCCTCTGCGGCCGTGTCGGCGCCCTGCTGCCGCCGGCCCACCGTGTACACGGGCCTGTGCTCCAGCAGCAGCAGCTCGTGAGGCGCCGGCCCGCCCGCCGCCAGCGCCGCCTGGTGGGCCGACAGTGCTGCCCTCTGGGCGGCCAGGCCGGCCGAGTAGCTGACCAGACCCAGGTGGCGCACACGCACCAGCCGGCTCATCGTGCGGTGGAAGAGTCTTTAATGTGGCAAAGGGAGTAGGCCAGATGATAAACCGTCAGCTCGTGATGCTAACTCAGCCCTCCTCAGAGTCCTGTCTTATCAGCAGTCCAAACCGTGCTGCTGTATCCTGTAAGCCGCTAAACCGCTCAGCTTGCAGACGCTGGTCACTGGTCGTCGCTGCGGAACTGGCCCATTTGCGACACGTGCGGATCCTGGAGCATCTGCAGCTTGCGGCGGCCCTGTCGCAGCAGGAACTCGATACGCATCACCTCGAGGCGCGGCACGTCGGCGTTGCGGCGGAACTCTGCGCGGACGGCGGCGGCGGCGCCCGGTTTATGAGCGGCGGCGCGCAGGCACTGTCGGTACAGCGCGAGCACGGAGCGCTGCAGCTCACTGTGGCGACCCATGGCCCATGGCCGGCGGATCTGCAACGGCCAGATGGCGGACGGTCACCGCACAGCGCCGGGCCGGGACGGCAGGCGGTCAGCACCTCAGCACCGGGGCGGGACGGTGACCGGTCACCGCACAGCGCCGGGGCGGCAGGCGGTCAGCACCTCAGCACCGGGGCGGGACGGTGACCGGTCACCGCACAGCGCCGGGGCGGCAGGCGGTCAGCACCTCAGCACCGGGGCGGGACGGTGACCGGTCGCCGCACAGCGCCGGGCTGGGTGGGTGCCGCAGCTGGCGGGAACAGCCAATCACGGACGGACAAAGGTGGTAAGAGCCGACAAATGAAAGCAACTCTGTTTGGGAAAACTGCGAAAACGGCCCTGATATGCATGCATGGTGCCTAGCACCTTTGCTTTTACAAACATCATGATGCATCTTTTCGAACACGTGAAGATTCCAAGCCCCATGTCAGGTCACCAGGGCATTTGCAATGACTAAACTAGTGATGTCAGTTACGGAAAATCGGAATACCGATACCAAACCAAATACCAACCAAAACCACGGGAAATCCCGAAACCAAACCAACTTGGGAAACTGAGGGTAATACCAACTTTTTACCGATTTATTAGCCTCTTATACATTAGTGAGGGCTTATGATACCAACAAATTACCAAACACATTACGATTGAAATACCAAATACCAAGTTAGTATCGGTTTGGTATCGGTATACCAAAAAGTTGGCATCCGATTGACATCTCTAGACTAAACCCACGGAGAAGCACATGTTCGCCCCAGACTAATTAGACTAACATGACTCATCTAATATTTATCTAGTTTTCATATCCGTGGCTTGAGGTCGCATCACTTAAATACATTTTTCATCAGACATAAGGCAATACGTAAGAGAATGTGTATAAAATTGCACCTCTTTCGGTAAAAACATTTTAAACTTTAAAACATCAATAACTTTTCTATCAAATGTTTGACAGAATTATTGCACCAGTTACCCCACCTTACATTTACAATGCCATGCTAAGTCACGAGAAGGACGCCAGAAGTTTTTCGACAAGAACGTTTGATGAATGGCATGCTAGAGCAATGCAAAAGTTTACTTTGAATGTGCTCAGCTTATCAACAGGGGATGAAAAAACACCCCATCTCGTAGTGTGACGATCGGACTCCCAACCGGCGCAGCGTAGGGAACGGTAGGCGTAGCCGTAGCGCTATCAAACTTGGCGAAATAGTAGTAAGCTCCCAAGTCTTCACTCATTATATCTCGGTATCTTCGACATTGGCAGTTGAACGTATCACAGGTAGATGGCGATCGGTGACGCGGTTCTCCTGGATCTAGCGTGGGTCTTCCTTCGCCACAGTCGTCAGTTGCCAAGTGAACTGAATAACTACGCAGGTCAAGCAACGTGCAAGCTAGCTACACAGGAATTAGGTTAAACATAAGCTACCCTGGTTGCCTAGCGTGAACCGTTCTTGATGCATCGTATTACACTATAGGGCCATATTTCATTCGTTAAAATGGCGGATTTAATCCCAGACTTAAACGCTCGATCCACACAGATATACTGTATTAAAAAGTCGCATTACGTTGACACCGCTAACAGACTTCGAGGGACCCTATTCACGCATTTGACTTCTTGACGACGTGCGAGAGGTCGTACTTGCCGCGGATGCACTTGATTTTGACGCCGGGAACGTCCCGGAGCCGGCCGACGCGCACCAGGACGATGTTGTGCTCCTGCAGGTTGTGGCCCTCGCCCGGGATGTAGGCGATCATCTCCTTGCCGTTGCTGAGTCGCACCAGGCAGCAGCGCCGGTTCGCAGAGTTGGGCTTCTTGGGCTTCTTGATGAGCGTCTTGAGTACGACGCCCTTCATCTGCGGGTTGCCGTCCAGCGGCCGTTTCTTGATGCGCCGCTTGGGGTTCTGCAGGCGCCGGTGCAGGGTCTCCAGCGAGATGGCGCGGCAGCCGGCGGCGGCGGCGCTCAGCGGCGTCAGAGGGGCCTGCTGCAGCGCCGGCGCCCGCCGCAGCAGCGGGCACGGCGCGGTGGAGAGCATCCGCTGCACGCCGCTCGCCGGGCACCCAGAGAGCGCCGGCCGGACCGCGGCCGTCAGTCGAGCCAGCAGCGAGATCATCCCTGCAACACGGCCACAGGAGAGCGGTCAGCGCCCGCGCCCCCCGCCTGCCGGTGTCTTGCCGCTCATGACTTCAGTGTCTGCAGGCACTTTGCAACTATGCAACTTCGAGCGCAGGGCCACGTAGAGAAGACGTGCAATAGTATGTAAGCACAGCATGCCGGCTGCGACTCCTGCCCAATGGCCAATGTCCGACAACGGGACAGCTTGCAATCCATTATATCTATTACTATCGGCTTGATTTATTTGTTGACGCATCGGCCCTCCATCTATTTATTCTTTATCATGAGAATGGTTCCCAAAAATCATAACTCTTACAGCAAATGTTAGTTCATACATAGTTTACCCAAATAGCTGGGTGGGTGGAAATTGCTGAAAGAAACAATGAACAGAGAATGTTGCATGCTATATTTTCAACTAGGTACATTTATGTACCTTTAACCCTCGCCCGTATTGGTGTTTTTCCAGCCGCGAACGTATGCGGAGGGGTCCGTTGGACCCCCCCCCCCTTGCCGTTTCGCCCCTGATCGAGCTAGAGCTTCGCGGAAAAAACGAGCGTGTTGCCCGTGACGAGAGAAAGCCGATGATATCCAATTTTAGGGTCCTAGGTCATTGGTTGACCTTGCAGGTCAGGTCAATGACCCAAAAGTCGGGAAAATCGGGACCTGTTAGAACGTCGTAAAGCGTGGCTTCTATGAGGTTTTTCGGGGTGCTGATCACGAATATCATGTTAGTTTTGATCACAGATGATCTTTTCATGCATTTAGTCCAGTTTAGATCAGGTCAGGTCAGGTCAACCAGTAGGGGTCCTGCCGGGTATTCCTAGTAGGTGTCAACCGCCTCCGACAGTTTCGTAACATGTTACGAAGGGACCAAAACTACTTCTTTAATGTTCATATGGTTGCTAAATTCGAATTCAGCTCCAAAAACTGGTCTGGAAACATGTAAAACTCGAAAAAGTGAACCGAGGTCATCAAAGGTCAATGACCTGACCTGACCTTCAGGTGACCTTGACAACCACCCTAATGCATGGGGGCAACATCATATCACATGTTTGAACGCTTGAAACCACGAAAAGACTGCAAACGCGCGGCTAATGCGAGCCGACATACGCCGAATCGCGATTACGACCAAACATGGTCTCGAAAAGTAGGTCATAGGTCAAAGGTCATTTGGGTCAAGGTCATGAAATGTTCAGGGTAGGTCAAGGTGTATAATTGATAAACGCGAGGGTACTGAAAGTATCGTCGCGATCAGCCGCTTTTTACGCGAGTTATTCGCGAAAAAACTATGGGGGGGGGGGTCCATTCGACCCCCCCCTGTTACCCTGTACGGGCGAGGGTTAAGTAAGAACAGATATTCACTCAAATATACATTCATTCATCTTTCTTTGGTAGATAAATCACTGTTAAAAATATTCATTTGCAATTAGACACAATCATTTTGACAGACAACTAAAAGTAGTAGCATGGTTTTCAGGTAATAAGTTACATGCATCTCCTGTGAGAATGTGCTCAAAATAGCTCTCTTCAAAATGGGATGATGGGACACAACAATGCAGAGACAGAGATGCCACTTAGGTACCTACTGTCTACAATTCTACGTGCCTTGAAGGTTGGACACAATTTAATAACCCCATGTAACATGTGAATCTATATGCTTCCAAACATGGGATTTGATAGATTTATTGATAAGAACAACCATGCCATTTTACCAAAACACATGCTGCAGAATTAAACATTGAAGTTCTTACCTTGTGATGAATGATTCAATCCAAATGGATCGCTGTCAGAATGAAACGTTCCAGAAGTGCCGGAATCTTAGATGATGGTAATTCCGATTTCACATCCAGATCAATACAACATTATGAACTGATACTGAGGTAAATATGGCTGGCTACTGGTTGCTCAGCATTGCTCAGTTTGTATCCCACATTTGCTTGACAGGTCAAAGTAGGGGTAGATGTTAGAACGTGGCTTGCCAAAAATGCAAATGTGTGGTTCAGGTTGGTATTGTTGTCTCAACTGCCCAGGCTCAGCTCAACTGGAGCATCAAATCACGGTACATAGAACTTAGAAGAATATCAAATAAAAGTATACATTGTCAATAAAGATAGGTACCTCGACGGCAGTGAAAAATTACCAAAATCGATTACTGATTGATTAGTAATGTTGATGTACGTAATTGTATCACAGGGCCTTGCGTTCAACCACTGAACTCTATAGATGGCCTTGCACTGAACTCTATCGTTCAACATGCGTAGGTTACGAAACGTCTGCGTCGTAAAAGCACCGCTACCAAATTTTAGAAAGAAGGAAAAGTGCTTCCATATATTTCTTCCGGAGGTGTCAGCAGGAAAAGCCTTTACAATTGACAAACTACTGTGCCTAGTGTTCGTGTGCTTGTTTCCCGACACCCGTGGATTGTGTAACTGGTACACTACATACTGCCTTTATACTACTTATGGTTCCATGATTGCAGAACCTGTGACAACTGAAACGGGACAGCTAACCCAGCTGACGGCAAAAATTGCAAAAACACATCTATTTACCTACCTTCACTATACAATATACATAAAGTAAGAAAAAGTTGCAAACTAACTTCTTTGACCTGACTCCTGACCTGTGCCACGTCATTCGGTACTCGGTAGCCCTGAAAATCGATGAAGCTATGTCCTTTGTCACCTGCTAGATGATCATCGCGGCATTCACTGCTCTCTGCTAAACCCATTTTGCGACATTTCTAAGATAGGGCCCAGGAGCTGAACAGGCAGTACTTATAAGTAGGAACTCAGGCTCCGTCGGGAGTGGGAATGAGTAGAGTGAATCAAGCCAAGGAGCCCCAGCGCCCAGCGGTCAGGGGGGACGAGTTAAATTGGTAGGTGTGAAGGTTTACCAACATCAAACGTCACTAGCATAAAACTTGCAGTTATTTTGGCATACCGTCGTAACATTTGCTTGGGACGCTCATATAGGTACGATGCTAGTTATGTTACAGCACGACATTCTTTCAGAGCTGTTATCATTATCTATCGAGTGCCCTTCCCGGCTTGGCATCCCGTGACGCCTTTTTTTCGTCGCCCGATTGGTGCGTCTGCTGTCGAGCCGTGCGGGCCGGGCCGCCTCGAGGCGGGGCTTCTAACTATAGCTGGCGTGGCGGGGAGGCCGCCGGGCGTCCACGCGGCGGGCCCGTGCCCACCGGGTCGGCCCGCCGCCAGCCACACTGAGCGCGACACCCCGTCCACGGCTAACGGCGCCGCCGCCGACCCGGCCGCGCTGTATGCAGATCGCAGCGGCTGCAACACTTGTAAATGTGTACCACCACGGGCAGCTGTCGGGTCCATGTGCGCGATTTAAATGAGCCGGGGACACAGCGTAGAGGGGCACCTCCACTGGGAAGGGAAAAGTGCCGGGCCGGCGCGGCGCGCTGCGGCAGCCAGAGCGGACGGCACGTGGCGGAGTCACCGGCTCGGAACGGGATGGGCTCGGACGGCAGTAGCCGAGCGGCTGCACAGGTAGTGTGGCTGCAGCGCACTACTCCAGCATGACTGCAGAGCGATGGTAGAAGGCTGTGTCGGTCAACATAGTACCTGTACATATAAATAAAGTGCAAGTGCTGTCACCGTGGTCAGTAAACTTTGTGCGTGCCATGTATTTGAAGGTACTCAATTTATCGGCCCAATGCAGCATTTTCATCTCCCTTGTTTAGCGTACGCTACCTTATCAGCAACAAGACAAAATAAAAACAGAGCAATTACACCGCGCCAATCGTAATGTATTCTACAATCATCCTCCTTTACACAGAAATACCTCCAAATAACACACTTTTCACTGCCAAGAGAAAAACCCTATATGCCTTAAAAAAGCAGAGACATTCGCGTTGACAGACTCTCCGTCGTGGAAATCCCATCGTGCCACATCCGTAAAATAAACTAGTCTGGCAGCGTAGAACGTCACTGCGTAACAGAAACCCTCATTGTGTCACAGGGACCGTCACTGCGTCACAGGAAGCATCACTGAGCCACAGAAACGGTCACTATGTCACACAGACCGTCACTGTTATCAAGACGGTTACTGGGTCGGAGGGACCGTCACTGCATCACAGAGACCGTCACTGCATCCACCAGCGACATTTATAACAACACAGCGCGCTGTCGCAGCGGCCGCCACCTGAGCACCTCTGGTCGCTCGCACCTACCTACCTGCCGGTGCAGCGGCCGTCCTACTTGGTCACCTGGTGCATGGCGTGCGCCAGGTAGTCGACGTTGCCGGAAGTGACGCCGGCCATGGAGATGCGGCCGTCCTTGGTCAGGTAGACGCTGAACTCGCTCGTCAGCCGCCCCACCTGGTCCGGCTTCATGCCCGTGAAACAGAACATGCCGATCTGGTCGGTGATGTGCTGCCAGTTGCGCGTGCTGCCCTCGCGCGCCAGACCGTCGCGCAGCTTGGTGCGCATGCCGATGATGCGGTCGGCCATGAGTTTGACGTCGCCCAGCCACTGCTGCTTCAGCGCCGGCGTGCCCAGGATCTTGCTGACGATGCGCGCGCCGTGGATGGGCGGGTTGGAGTACATCGGCCGGATGAGAATCTTCACCTGGGACATGACCCGCGCCGCCTCCTCCTTGTCCGAGCAGATCAGGCTGAAGGCGCCGGCACGCTCGCCGTACAGGCCCATGTTCTTGGCGAACGACTGCGACAGCGCGATGCAGTGGCCATCGTTAAGGAACTGGCGCACGGCCTGTGCGTCCCGTTCGCAGTCGCCCGACGCGAAGCCCTGGTACGCCATGTCAAAGTAGGGGAAGATGTTCTTTTTGTGGATGAGGCTGGACATCTCCTTCCACTGCTCGGGCCGCGGGTCGACTCCGGTCGGGTTGTGCGCGCAGGCGTGCAGCATGATGAGTGAGCGCTCCGGCATCTTGGCGATGTCCTGCATGGCGCCCTCGAAGTCGAAGCCACACGTGCTGGGGTCGTAGTAGCGGTAATGCTGCACCTCCATGCCGGCGTGTTTGAAGATGGGAATGTGGTTACCCCACGTAGGGGTGGGCAGCCACACGACCTTGGGGCCGGTGAAGAACTTTGAGAAGAACTCGGCGCCGACGCGCAGCGAGCCCGTGCCCGAGATGCACTGGGTAGTGACGTTGAGCCCGTCCTGCACCCAGCGGTTGCCCTCGCCCAGCGCCAGGTTGGCGGCCATGGTGCAGAAGTCGGGCAGGCCCGTGATGCCGGCGTACTCCTTGTCCATCATGGCCTCCACCAGCTCCTTCTCGGCGGTGCGCACGCTCGGCAACACAAACGGCTTGCCGTTATCGTCCCGGTAGGCGCCGACGCCCAGGTTGATCTTGTTTGGGTTGGTGTCGCGCTTAAAGGCCTCCGTGACGCCGAGGATGGCGTCCGGCGGCCCCATCTCGACGTTACTCCACCAGGAGCTGCATCGCGCCGCCGCCGGCGTCGCCACGCTCCGCAGGCTCAGGCCCAGTCGGCGAGACGAGTTGAGCAGGGCCATGGTCTAACTCCGGCGGCACCAGGGACGGCCTGTAAAACAACAGCCAGCCCATCATATTGTATAACTCCAAACCAGCTATCCATTCATATGATCTGTTCAATCATTTGCTCAGCAATCAACCCACGCGCCCAAAAGGGAGCTACTCTCCCCTTGTTTTCAGCAGTATCTGGCAAATTTCCAGCACCACTTCCCCCATCCATTCCACACATGCTAACCGAAAACCATTCAGAGGACAGAGCCTGTGACTGGTCAGCCCGAAATGAAGTAAAAGTGACGTCTTATTCTGCAATGTTCACCCTCGCCGGCACAGGGGGTTGATGCAGCCCCCCCCCCCCACTAAGGTTTCTCGCAAATATCTCGCGTAAAAAGCGGCCGAGCGCAACGAAACTTTCAGTACCCTCGCGTTGATCTATTTTACACCTACCCTGAAAATTTCATGATCCTGACCCAAATGATCTTTGACCTGTGACCTACTTTTCGAGACCATGTTTGGCCGGAATCGCGATTCGGAGTATGTCGGCTCGCATTAGCCGCGCGTTTGCAGTCTTTTCGTGGTTTCAAGCGTTCAAACATGTGATTTGATGATGCCCCATGCATTAGGGTGGATGCCAAGGTCACCTGAAGGTCAGGTCAGGTCACTGAACTTTGATGACCTCGGTTGACTTTTTCGAGTTTTACATGTTGCTAGGCTAGTTTTTGGAGCTGAATTCGAATTTAGCAACCACATGAACATTTAGGAAGTAGTTTTGGTGCCTTCGTAACATGCAACAAAGCTGTCAGAGGCGGTTGACACGCACTGCGAATACCCGACAGGACCCCTACTGGTTGACCTGACCTGACCTGACCTGACCTGACCCGACCTGGCCTAAATGCATAAATACATCATTTGTGATCAAAACTAACATGACATTCGCGATCAGCACCCCGAAAAATCTCATGGCAACCACAAATTACGACGTTCTAACAGGTCCCGATTTTCCCGACTTTTGGGTCATTGACCTGACCTGGAAGGTCAACCGATGACCTAGAACCTTAAAATTGGGTACCATCGGCTTCCTCTCATCAGGGCAACACGCTCGTTTTTTCCGCAAACCTCTAGCTTGATCAGGGGCGAGACGGCAAGGGGAGGGTCCAACGGAACCCCCCCCCCCCCCTTATACGTTCGCGGCTGGCAAAACACCAATACGGGCGAGGGTTAACCGTATAACTGATTTCCTAGAAGTTATTTTGTGTAGTGTGACTGAGGACTGCGGGGCCCGAGTCGCGGAGTCGGTCAGAGTTGAAGTTCTGGCCAGAGTCGGAGCTGGAGTCACCGAAATTTGTCAATATGGGTGGAACAAGGCATCCAAATGAAAATAATTTTCCACCCCGACCTCCAACTTTCAAGAGAAATTTACCACACATGAAAGAGCATCTGCTCGCATGATCGCATCATATTCTACCATTGTACAGAAAAGTGTGCAATCTTTCCTTCTTCTGTTCTTTATATTCGGGGGAAGGGGGGGGGGCGCTAATCTTATCAAGAACATACCACCCTCACAGTGTACCAAAATCATATTTTTGCTTGGGTGTCAGAGGGGAAAATTGCTGACCAAAAAAAAAAGAAGAGTGAAAAGTTGTCGGTCAGGTAAGGCCCAAAAAGAGTGGGAAAATGATCAAAAACATTAATCTTTCTACAATTGTGACAGATGTAAAACAATCATTCCCGCAATTGCTCCTTCTCGGTGGAATTGGGAGTGGAAAATTGGGCTTG